GATGCCGCCCCCCACCACGATGCCGCCCCGGGCAACCGCCCGTGTCGCTCGTATCTAAAACCGCTACTGAACTAATATTACCTCTCTGAGCCCTGTGTGTTTCCACACATGAACTCGCATACCCCCAGCACACTTGAACGCGCATGCGCACACGCACGAAACCGGTCAAACAGGTTGTCAAACGGGTTTGGTTGGCTGCTATATTGGACTAGTGCCATCGTATTACTACTAGCAGCCATACTGTAAAGAATGTATTCCTGCAAAAGTGACTATGACATATTCCATTTCTACTACCCAGGGATTTTTGTACAATTGCCCTAACAGCCAACAGAGATGGTCGATCATGCCAAACAACTCATGACTGATGAAGGAATTGACATTTCCAAGATGACACACAAATCAGAACTGCAGAAATAGGAAATAACTGATATAAGTAATTTTATCTTTTCAGATTTCAGATCTGTACCTGTTTTACTTTGTTGCTGTCTTTTAATGTTTTATGATATCCTGAGAATTTAATAGAGTTTCCACTTAAATGACCAAATTGCATCTTCATCATATCCTCCCGAGAACCAGCCTGCTCATTTACATCCTTTGTATTGGACATTTGCTTTTGGTCTATTTCTTTTGAGTTATCTGAGCTACCACACTAAGTCCTAATGTACTAAATAGTGGACATCCCGGGCTTTCCATTGATATCTATGTTTTCTAGTTTAACTCAGGGTTAGCTTCTTACTAACTCTGGATATTATAGATTGAACATGACATTAGTTTCATTGTCTAATAGTGTATTTATTATTATTGACAACAACTACAACAAGTCAAATGAGTTGTTCTTGAGATTGAAAAACTTTATTAAGGTTCAGTAGAGATTAAAATTTCTTGCACATTAAACAGCAGCTTGGTTTATTTTTATGTTAACCGTTATTAACCTTGCGAGTGACAGTGAACTATGATTTATGTAAAGAAGAGAAATGTCAGCTTCAAATAGTTAAAGCTGACAGTTTATCTATCATGTAATTTACCTAAAAAAAGGGTACATTTTTCAATAATAGCAAAAAACACATTGCATAATGACAAAGCAAATCTGAGATAAAGTGAGCATTAACACATGAGGCCTGAATGAAAAAAATGTAATCAATAATATTTAACCCTTAACCCAGTGACATTTCACAACCATAGAATATTCTTATGACTAGCGATAAGGAGCTGGTGAGTGCTGTTTGACGTGTTTGTTTTGGAGGCCAACCTCTGTTGTTCTGTGAACTGTATATAAAATGTTTGTTCCTAGAGCTCACACACTTTCTCCCAGCCTTCACCTGACATTCGCACACACCTCAGGTAAGATCTTAAATTACTTTGTCTTTTTAACAGAAAAAACACCAAACTCAATTGAAAATTTGTACTGTTTTAGCAATGTTGATATTTTTAAACACAGTTTTCTGTAATACTAACTCCAGCATTAATTTTCACTCATTTTTATCATTTTTTTTGTGTTATCCTAAATCAGAATGTATTCTGATATCTTTACAGATTGCATTTACCATATGCTTGTTGTCCGTATTAAAATATATATATTTTAATGATTATGACATGGTGCTGAACAAATGCTTCGCAGTGTCTCACAGAAAGCATTTGTGAAACCAGGAAAACAGGTGTGACAATATTTGCTACAATAGTTACCTCTCACAGGAAGGCGAAACTTTGTTCTGTCGCTTTCTTCTATCTAATTTAATAAATCTGTGACCTTCTAACCAACCATTTCACAACTAAATGGGGAACTTGCTTCAAATCTTAAGAGTGAAGAAAAAATGTATTGTATTTAGTTTCTGTTAACCTTTCAGTATAAAAGGTGATGACATTTTTCAACTTTAGAAATAGAGATAGAGTGAAACACACTCTCTACATGTATTAAAAAAGGCTGGATGAACTGAGACAGGTATAACTGCTGCATAACATAACTTCTGCAATCCCCCCCTTTATCTTCTAAAGGAACCATGTCTGCTGCTTACCTTCTTCTCCTGCTGGTCCCCGCGATCTCAGCTCAGACTTTTCACTGGGGTGCCTGCCCTATTCCAGAGGTGCAATCTAACTTCACCCTTCAACCGGTGAGCAAAGAGATATATGCATCCAGAGTAAACATTTTTTAGTGCAGAACTCATGGCTGGGTGTTTTTTTGTTACAGTACATGGGTAAGTGGTATGAGATTGAAAAGCTGCCCGATATTTTTGGAAGAGGACAGTGTATCAGGGAGGAAAACACCATGATGGAAGATGGGTCTGTTCAAGTGTCGTACTCACAGGTGTGGGACCCCCAGAACCAGTAAGTACTGAAGGATCAGGTCGATGGATTGATGACTGGACTATAGGTTAGATGGACTGATACTATTCATTTGTCAGTAGAGTTAGATAAGCTTAGCATAAAGGAGAATAACGCAGGGAAAAGCTAGTATAGTTCCGCCTGCAGATATCAAAAAATCCTTTTAACTATAACAACAAAGAAAAAAAGTCTAGTTTCTTGCAGTAGCGTTAATGTTGTTGAAGCAATTGGCCGCTGGTAATAGATGGCTAATAATGGATGTGTTTGTCTGCAGGGTGAAACCTTGAACTTTACTTCTGGTGACTTTTCTTTGGATTTGTTCCGAGTGTTGATTTAATGTTTGCACAAGTATTTTTCTTCTGAAGAGCTGGGTTGAGTAAGAAAAAATGTCATGTAATCTATGTTGACAAAAGGCTTAGTGGTGACACACCTCAAGTGAAGTTTTGATTAGGAGATATGACACAATGAATAGATTGATAATATTGCATATTTGTCTCTCTCAGTCAGGGTAAAAGGTGGTACCTGGAAGGGACAGCCAAGGTTATAGACCCACAAGAACCAGCCAAGCTTGGAGTCAACTTCTTGTCTTGTAGGTACCTCCTTTATCATCTATATATGTATATATATTGTTTTAACTGTTACAACACTCATTTTAACATTTTATTTCTCTTTCTGATCTTTATTCCCAGTTCTTCCTTACACCCCATACTGGGTTCTGTCAACCGACTACACCAACTATAGCATTGTGTACTCCTGCAAAGATGTCTTTGGGATCTTCTACTTTGATTTCGCCTGGATTCTTGCGCGGTCGCCTTCTTTGCCTCCACAGATGGTGGATCAGGCCAAGCGGATGCTGATCAGCGGGGGGATCGACATTTCCAATATGACTCCCACAGATCAGAGCTGTAGCGTTTAGCAAGAACTGGCAGAGACGTTCAGTTATGGTAGAGTGTGTTTTTTCTCTCTGAAGGTTTTTTCCTTGATTACCTACGCCTGTAACTTTTTACATGAGCCATTGTTTTTAAAAAGTACATTATTTTTGTGTTTTAATATGTTTTGCACATGAACACAGAAATGGTTTGAACTCTGTGTGAGCCGCTTGATAGTTGGAAACTATTCAGTAAAAGCTGTCCTATTTTTAAAGGTTTTGGATTTAATCAACTAAGCAGTGTTTGCATATCCTTGATTGCATGTAATAATCCATGAAACATGCTGTACTTGGTGTAGGAAAAACTTTGCTAAGATTCTGCTGACATTAAAGATGAACCGATTAAACACTGGCTTGGCTTACATTCATTATAACTGTCATTAAATGAAGAAAATGCTATACGATCCTGACCCACAGTGAAATAATAGAGGGGCATTTTATTTTTAATAAAGAAAAAAGTATTTGCAATTTCACTGTAAGAAAGTGGAAGAAATATCACACATAAATCATCTTTGTTCTTAGCCTCAAATCACAATAAAGCGGTACAACTGAAGAGCCATCAGTATTGGTTTTTCAGCTAGTTATTTTATCTGTAAACAATTTAAAGGTGATGAAGAATAATATCATTTATATAATTTCCCTCATTCCAAGGTGGTATCTTCAGGTGTATGACAAACAATTCAAATGAAAATGATAAAGAAATAAATCAGAGCTTAATTCGGAGATGAACCCAGCATTAACACAGCGGTTCCTGAATGAATAACAACATTCATCCTTTCTCACAGTGACAGCACTTTCACCATACAGGAATGTGCGCATGATTACAATTAGTTAAACAGATGTCCTTATGCTGTCCGAGTGACGTAATGCGAAGGCTGACCTGTGTTTGTCTGGAGAGCTCAGACAGTGACCGAGAGCTCAGCCTCTAACTTCCACCTGACATCTGTACAGAGCTCAGGTAAGAACGCTTTAATAACTTTAATAAAATGGAAATACAACAAACATCTTGAGCATAAAGATTTATGTTTTAATACCCATAGTGTATCTTTTTACTGAAATTCTAAGTATATTATTAATGCAGCTCTTGCATTATTGCTACTGAAAATATACACTCCTGCAATAGCTCTTGTCTAATGTAACTTCTACCCTAATCTCCTGAAGGAACAATGTCTGGTGTGTGCTTTCTCCTTCTGATGCTCCCTCTGCTATCAGCTCAGACTTATCACTGGGGTCCCTGTCCTACTCCGAAGGTGCAGCCCAACTTTAACCTTCAGCAGGTGAGTACAAACTAAGACACACACTCCTATAATGGCTTTCCTTCACCGCCTTTCAGTGAAATCAATTTAAAAAATTTGTAACATATAAAGACCTCCTAAATATAAAGGCTCGTAAATATATATATAGCTGAGCTACTGGGACCTTATAACTATAGTCGTCCTCTCTGATCATCTGATTGGGCTCTTTTACACCCTCTCACACACCCTCTTCTTTTAAATCTAGAGGCTATTGCAATTCTAAACATTGGATCAGCCTTAGCCTTCTGAAAATAATTTCTATAGGTTAGCATTTCCTCAAACTTTTTCCCAATATTTTTGGCTTTTGTTCTTCTAATATGTATTTATGTGAGTGCGTATGCAAGAATGAGTGTAAGACCACATGTCTGACCGTGTTTTTTGTGTGCTTGGATATGTACACCTATCTTCAATGTGTGATTTTATGCAAACTGTGAAGCATTTTCTAACTGTGTTTTATTTAATGATATACAAGTGAAATAATTCTAATTATTAAACAAAGAGTTGCACAGATCTAATGACTTGCCTATGGTTGTTACAGTACCTGGGTAAATGGTATGAGATTGAGAAGCTGCCTGCTCCCTTTGCAAGAGGAAAGTGCATTGAGATAAACTACTCCATTAGGAGAGATGGGACCATCCAGCTGTTGACCTCGCAGATCTAGTAAGTACTATAGCAAAGGATTCTTATTGTTGGTTCGCTTGACACCACATTTCTCTGCAACTTCCATTTTTCTTTTAGCATATACTCTTTTCATGGAATATTGATACCACTGAAAAGCTTGATATCACTCTCATTTGTATGGTTGATATGATGCTGGAGACAAAAATAATTCTACTGTTTCTGGCATAAAAACTGTTGTCTGTGTACAGAATCAGAAAGAATACTTTGTTTCAAAACTCATTACCAAAAATCCTGTTCTTCTCTATGTATGAAATATGTCTGTATATAGTCCCAGATTCAAAAAAGTAAACAGCTTAAAGTGCTTTAAATCTAAATCCTTTGTTATGATCAGCAATGGGCAACTCCTCTTGTTTGAAAAAAGATTCTTGTTTGAATTAACGTTGCACAGGACTTTATTTGTTTGCCATGTTGCCACGGTGACAGGCTGGATGGTTGGAAGCTTGTTCCAGGGTAAACTGGTGCAAGTGATGAAAAGACAACCAATAGGAGCACAGTATATTGGTGACTCACAGATGACAGGATACAATATAAATTTGAGGATTACTTTCAGAGATTAGATCCAGAGCCTGGAATGACAAACAGTTAACTGTCGGCTTTAAGTGACAAGTGATGAAAAGGTAAGCCAACCCTGAAAAGGAATGCTATTTACATCAAAGCACAAGTGAGTGTTAAACATAGGCAAAAGGCAAGTGATCAAACAAGTAAAACATAGGTGATAAGGTCTAAGAGTCAAACATTCCAGGGGAACTGCCATCTGGTTATAGGTATTATGACCAGGATGTTAAAAGCAAAAGATTCCACGAATAGTGAGTCTTTCTCAGTTTCTAGCTTGGTTAGGAAGATACATCTATGTTCAAATCAAGGGGCTTACAGCAGTAGCTCAAGGCATACCTTGGTCCAAGCCATGATGATGGGTGATTTGATTTTTTTGTGAGTTTTTTTTAGCCTCCTTCAGGGTGTGTATTGTATGATGAGCAAAAAGTAATAAAGCTGACACTGACCATGGACAACTGACCTAAAGCTGATTGCCGGCACACCCTAGGTGGAGTTTGCCTACATAAGGGATTCTGTCTTTCTGATTCCTGCTGTTTTATAATTAGTTGAATTAATAGTTAGTCTGTTTGAAATCGTTGTTGACATATTTTTTCATTTCAGTAAAGATAAGAAGAGGCATGCAGAAGGGACAGGTGTAGTTTCAGACCCACGAGAACCAGCCAAACTGGGAGTCAGTTTCTCATATTGTAAGTACTTATTATCTTTATTTTATCAACTATTTGATGAAACATTGTTGCAGTATTCCTGCTTCACTGAGATCAAATTGTACAAAGTCTGGTGGTCCTTTGAAATTACATCTTGACATTTGTATTTTTTCACTCAAACACCTTCTGTTGGCTATAATTTGGAGCTGTCCAGTACTTTAGTTGATGACAATATAGTGTGAGATTGTGAGTATATTGACAAGCTGATACAAGCATTTGCCTTAAAGCACTGTGATACTGTACAGTTTTACTGTCATGGCTGTAGCCGGTCTTATTTATTGAACCCGTTGTATCATCATGATGTTTTAATTTTGTAATTACCTTGACTAATTTATCAGTGGGCTGATTTTATCAACTCATATTACATATTTGCTGATCTATCAGTATCAGTATTTTAGCCAATAAAAGAAAAAGAAAAATTAGAGTAAACAAGAGACGGTAGAAACACCCTTCAGACTTGCTATGAATGTTGATGTTGCTTGTTTCTTCCACCAGAGGGCACTATGCTATGTCCCTGTTTGAAACAAACTGGAAAGCCACAAATAAATCAACCAGCTGATCAGAGCAGAGGCAAAGCATAAATAGTTCAATAAAAAAAACTATACAAAATCTGTTTATGTTTCATTTGTCTGAGAAAAAGAAAACCAAAAGCAGATTTTTAAGTCACTAAAAATCATATATTTGTCAGGCTCCATAATATTACACATTTAAGTTGAATCAGTTTTATTCAGAAAATCAATATAGAGATTCTCCTTTGGAAAAAAATTTGTTTTCTATACATTTTTTTCTCTTTGTTCTCAGTCACTCCATATGTGCCATACTGGGTTCTGACTACTGACTACACCAGCTTGTCTGTCGTGTACTCCTGCACAGACATCCTTCGCATATTCCATTTCAACTACAGCTGGATTCTTGCCCGGTCGCCCTATCTGCCTCCAGAGACTGTGCATTACGCCAAACAGCTGCTAATTGATGAAGGAATCGACATTTTCAGGATGACACACACAGATCAGAACTGCAAGGATAAATAATAACCAATAGACACGTTCAGTTATTCCTCTCTTATGAACTCATCCCATTTCAATATATCTGTTTTCAACTGTTGCTGCCTTTTGAAAAGACATGTAAATTCTAAATAAAATGATCACTAAGTTAAAGTATTAAAATTGTACAAAAGAGTTAAATAACTCATTATTTATTAATTATTCCATTATTTATTAATTATTCCAAGAAAAAAATCTATCTATCTATCTATAT